ACTCTGACTTAAAAAACTCCCTGCCTTGAGGGTCTTTGTTGAGTAAAGGCTAGAGATGGTGTCTCGATAAAATACTAATATTGGACAGACATTAAATACATCCAGTTACTGTCTTGTAGAAAAGATTTAAGGGGTAACCAGATTCTATCTGTTGACTAACTTTGCACCCCTTCTTTATCTTTTGAGCTGGCGCAGATTTATTTACAATACATTGTTTCCAGTTTAGGATGTCGAATGCTAGATCTTCTTGACTCAATGCCTGGGTTTTGCTTGTGTCTCTGTTTGTACTTTTGATGTGTATTGCCAAGGTTACATTTGGAGCCCATTGTTACAGCTTAGGGTTTATTAATAGTAATGAGGCAACTGCTTGGACTATTAAATAGTGTACTGAGTACTTTCTGTGCATTAAGCCAAGTTTTTAAACAAATTTAAAAAAATGACCAAAGTACCAAAAACTATAAAATCCAAAAACCATCGCCAACACCAAGTTCTCTAAATCTATCATTCACTAATATTCGTGGTCTTTGAAGTAACTTTGGAATTTGCTTTCTTTATCTTGTTTTACTGATTCATAAAATTTGCAATTTTATGAATCAGTAAAATTTGCAATTTTAAGAATCAGTAAAATTTGCAATATTTTAAGTCGTCTGTCAATCATTATCTTGCTCTTTAACTTGAATTTTTCTCTATAATTTTTATCAGTAACTTCAAACTCTAATAGTGGTTGCTTTTAAAAACATTTTTAAGTTAAAATAAAAAAGAAATGATTTTCCTATAGTTTTTTTTTTTTTTAAAGAAGATAAAAAGATACGAAAATATAAAATACTATCTATTTGTAAAATATATTTGTATAATTTTAATGTAACAAGCTTATATTGTCCCTAAATGAAAAAGTCTTTGTAATGCATGCATATACTTTTATGTATAACTTTTTATTATATAATTATATTTAATTGTTCATAAGTATATGGATGTTTAGCTTATTTGGATAAGGCGTTTACTACACAGAATGTCTGTGGTTCGAATCCCACCACTGTCCATTTTTTTAAATTGTTTTCCTTTTAAATACCACTGTTCATATTTGCTTAGTAACCATTTATCGTTTCTTTTTTGTATATAAAAAATCTTTTTGTGGTATGTTTTTGAATGATACACATCTCTTCGCATTCAGATTTCTTATACCATTTAAGCATTTCAGTGTATTTTATAATTAAGGCGCACACACATATATACCTATTTTTTAAGCTTCAATTAGGCCATGCAATCTACACATTTGTCACATAGCCTCAATTGTTTCATATTTCCTTTCTATTCCTGTACATTTTTATCCCCAATCTTTTAGGGCTTTGTAATTTTGGATACCTGTTGCTTTTTAACATTTGGCTCTGTGAGTATAGTTCTACATGCCCCCTCCTTTTTGGTCTACTATGTTATTGGTGAACAATTATTAATAATAATTATTAATTGTTGTGCAACTATTAATAATAATTGTTTACATACATTTCACCAATAACATAGTAGACCAAAAGAGAGGGGTCGTGTAGAGCTAAATTCAAAGAGACGAATGTTAAAAAGCAAAGGCTTCCGAAATTACAAAGCACTAAAAGATTAGGGATAAAAAAAGATAAAAAAATTGGGAAAAGGTGGGATTTGAACCATGGACATTCCATACATGTGTATACTTATGAACAAATAAATACAATTATAGAATAAAAAAATTACACATAAAAGTATACGCATGCATTACATAGACGCTTTTATATAGGGAAAATATATACTTGCTACATTAAAACCATACAAATATATTTTACGCGCACACACATACATATATATAAATAAAAATATATATATAAATACACACAGATATATATACACAGGCTTCAGCAGGAGTAAATGAAGTATAAACAGTCCGTCTAAACCCGTTTTTGCGGACTACGCAGGCCGCCTGCCCAAAAGAACTTGCATGGGATTTTTTGAAAAATTAAAATTATTATGTTGTGATGAATTTTTTTTTTTACTCTGAAATTATATTTTTTTGATTTTTTATACCAGGTACAGTAAATATAGCAATAAATGTTTTTTTAGTGATTTTTTAGTAAAGACAGAAAAAAACTTTTTTATATTTAATTTTTATTTAATAATTTAGTAATTAAATAATAAATAAAAAGTAATATTTAAAAGTTAAAATATAATCAATCATTTTCTATTAAAACAAAAATATTTAAGAAAACATCAAATACTTGTTTTATAAAAATGAATGATCTTTGATATATTATTATAAAAATTCATTCATTTCTCTTCTACTTTTGTGAATGAAAATGTCATTGTATATAAAAATTTTTACAATTGCTTTATTAACAAGTAGAAGAATGATATATCATTTAAAAAGACTTTGGTAATTAAACTTCAAATAGTTGGATAATTTTAAAGTTGAGATAACATATTTTCAAGGTTACGCTTGTAATGTAACCTCGAAAAACTGCAGTGTAACGCTGCAGTTTTTATCTTTTGCTCAGACTTATTAGTGTGTGCTCTACTTAGTAAGTTTTTATTACTATGTTTTTGTTTTGGTTTAGTTTCTTGATTTCTATCCAGACTTTATCTTTTTATTCTCCAGTTTAATGAGTTTTGGATTTTTGTTGAGTTTATTACAGATATAGTCAAACCAATAATTTTCAAGCAACACAAAAAATGGCAGAAAAACAACCTTTGCAACTATCACATTTCTTTATTCAAGCATCTTGACATTTACCTAAAACATTTCGCAATGAATGTAGCAATTTTGCAAGATCTATTTGAGTATTAATATATTGTCTTATTAAAATAATAGAACAAAATACAACATTATTTTATTGCACTTCTTTAGTTGATTCATTTTTCTTGTGCTTTGTAAATTGAACTAAATTTTAAAAATTTAACCGTGATATCTTTAAGCTATAAAGATATAGTGACAATTATAATGAAATCTTTTTTTAAATAAACCTTGAACTAATTTATTAAAATAATAGAACAAAATACAACATTATTTTATTGCACTTCTTTAGTTGATTCATTTTTCTATTCTTTTACAATTCTCAAATGTCTATTCTTTTACAATTGTTTTTTAACTGTTAAAATTTTAGTTTTTAGTAACTTATCGTTTTCACTCAACTTACTATCATACTATTTTATGAACTTGTAATTGATTTAATATTCTTTTTGGAAAATATATTTTATGCTGATATGAAATGTAAGTTAAAATTTGAAGTAATCTAATTTTTAGTTTCTAAGAGAAAAATAAAATAAAATATAAAGAAATCATATAGTATTATTTTTATCATAAAAAAGGAATATATATAGTTATAAATTATTTATAAATATTCATTTTAAATAAATTAGCTCAAAATATCTTTTATTTCAAAATAAAAGGCAGTTTTTTCATTTTCACTTGATTCAATTGTTTCACTTTCACTGCTTAAACTGTCGTAATCAATCTTTTTCGTCATTTACTATTGTAGCAGGTTGAATTATTGTATCGAAAATTGCTGTTTGCGGTTTTTGTGAAAATATACAGGGAAATATGCACTACTTTAAACAACTTTAAAGTATGACAAACTAGTTTATCAATCAATGAAGCAAAATGTGTGATTATACAAAAAAGAAATTGTCTTTATTACCTAACAGTTCTTATTATATAAGTTAGCAAATTTTATGGAATACTGAAAACCTGGACTATTATGTAAAATTCTTTTGCAACACATGCATATTTTGTCTGCTTTTTAACATACTAGTTATTTATCTTTTAACATAACACAGAATAATATGGAACAGTTATGGCTGTTTGAAATAACTTGATTGATTTTTATTTTTTACTTTTACATCAGAATATTCAAAAATTATTTTTTTCATTAATTTTTTAGCTTATCCTGAATGAAATAGTTTTATTTTTTAACTAGTAAAACCAACAGTTTTACAAAATTATATCATTTGAGAAGTTTTTAAAAGAATAACTAAATAAAAACATATTTAACTTTATTTTTACCAAAAACTTATATTTAACACGGGCTTTATTTCGCCCATGTAAACTGATTTGCACGGGTGAAGAGGGCTATACATATACATATATATATATATATATATATATACATATATATATATATATATATATATATATATATATATATATATATACATATATATATATATATATATATATATATATACATATATATATATATATATATATATATATATATACACACACACACACATATATACATACATATACATATATATACATACATATACATATATATATATATATATATATATATATATATATATATATATATATATATATATATATATATATATATATATATATATATATATATATATATATACACACACACATATATACATACATATACATACATATACATATATATACATACATATACATATATATATATATATATATATATATGCATATATACATATACATAAACACATATATATATATATACATATACATAAACACACACACATATATATATATATATATATATATATATATATATATATATATATATATATATATATATATATATATACTATAGTGAAAAAAGATCAGCAATTGCCTTCTAGTTTTACTTATCTTTATAGCATACAACTTTTTTATAAAACGAAGAAAACAAAGAATTAAAGAAAAGATTGCTGCTACAGCTAAAACCCTTAGTTATGTAGCGTCACTTCTTTGCGACAGCAGGCTATAAGATTGTCAATGTATGTACTAAAGCCCTTAGCAGCAGTCTGGTTCAGCGTAACTTCAAACATGATATCTAAACATGCATTTTTAACTTTTTCTTTTTTTAATTTACTTTTTCTTCTTTTTGCTTAAAAATTGTATGGATTAAGGTTGGCAAAAGATGTAAACAAAACAACTTATTATGCATTAAACATTAAAAAATATTCTACATAAAGATTTTTGAATATTAAAAAAATCAAAGAAAATATTTTACTTGCAAAAGTGAGAAAACTCTCCATCGATAATAAATATGTTCATTACTTTTGTTGTCAAACAAAAACCTAAAATGAAGAATAAAGAATAAACAAAAAATAAAGAATAAAATAATCAAAAATATTATTGACCAGTAAAAATGCATTTTGATCTAAAGAAAATAAAATAAAACTACATCAGAATATACAAAAAATTATTTTTTGTTTAATTTTTAAACCTTTTTAAGATTCTTTATTTTTCTTCTACTCTGAAACTTATTCCATAATTAACAAAATTACTTCAAAGATATTAATTTATGATATATGAGTTATAAAATTTTATTGAACAAATTTATCATAATTGTTACCGAAACATTGGATTTGATATTTCTCGATTCATTATCATTGCTTCAAACATAGGTCCTTCACGTACCACAAATTCGACAACACGATTAATTAAAGACACTACCAACCTGAAAACAAAATTTTTAAAACTGAAAACAACATAAAAGTAGAATGTCGAAGTAGAAATGCAAGAAATAAGCTTTTTAATTCACTAAAACAAATTTTGAGATTATTTATATGAGCTCTTAAATAGTCGTCACGTTGCAAATGATGCATTGGATCCTACTCATATCCTTAAAATGCTGCAAAAAAAGTTAAATATTCTGAATATATATATATAAAAAAAAAAAAAAAACGCGAGCAAACTATTACTCTGAAAAATGCTATACAGACTTTTTTGCTGATATTTAGCAGGCGATGAATGTCGAAGAAAAAAAGGTACCTTTCTGTAGGAATTACAACTTTGACGACAGTATTTTCTAAATTCTAAGAAAATCACATACTCATAAGTACCAAACTATATACTGCATTAATTATGCATTAATATTTAATTTTATCAAATAAAAACACAATAAATTTAACAAGATTTTACAAAAAATAAATGTTATCTTTTTAATTAAAAAAAAATCCTCTCTATAAGTATCATTAATAGCAAAGTCTTAGAGCAGGGAAATCGCAACTACTTTTTATTTTAAATATTGTTGCTAATACTGGCAATTGTTTTACAAAATAAAAAATCATATCATGATTGGATGTTTAAGATTACAAGCCTAAAAAGATTTTACCCAAATAAAGTATTTAGATTTGTCAACCAGTTAACTAAGAAAAGTGATTGGTTTACACCTTACACTAGTATCAATAAAAAAAGACCAGCAAAACAGGTACTTTTGTTTTACAATTACTTGATTTAAATAGACTCGCACTTGTTTTGTTTTAATTACTCAAGTTTAATCAGGTTGTTTTGTGATTATAGCTTTCCCTCTCAACCTTCGAAGACTAGACTATGGCTTCCCCTCTCAACCTTCGAAGACTAGACTATAGCTTCCCTCTCAACCTTCGAAGGTTAACATGTCATAAAAAAAAAAGTTTAAAAAATTCTTTAATTTAAGATTCTTCTTAATTTAATAATGTAGATTTTTTTTATTTTAATTTTTTAGTTATCAGCATTTATTTAAAGAAAAATTGTTCCAAAATTCTATTGAAAATTGTTTTTAATATTGAACTTTGAAAAATTTAATATTGAAATTTAAAAATTTAAACATCTATTTCTATTTAAATTGTTAAAAAACAAAAAATTTTAAAAGTTTTATATACAAAATCTTAAATTTTTTAAATTATTAAAATATAATATATATAATAAAAATATATAAAAACGAATTAACAAAAAATTTAAAGTTTAAACAAATTCTTGTAAAATGGATTCTTGTAAATTTTCTTTAAAAAAATGGAGCAACTTTTTTTGTTTGTTTTTGCTAACATTATTACTTTTATTAAAAGTTTTTCTATTACTATTTAATTTTTTTTCATTTTTTTTTTTTAAGGATGCATTTCACACAAAAAATAGATATACTGTCCTGGAAAACAATTAAAGGGATTCTAACATGGTTGAACATCACATTACTTAAAGAAATGAAAATAAATTTTGAACCAAATGTTATCAAGTTAAATTATGGCTGTACTAATTAGTAGTTAAAGTATAAGAATTTGCAGTTTTAGAATAGAGAGAATGACCACTGTAACAAAAAGTAAAATTAAGCTTTAAAAATTTAACTATCAGGCTTTGCGATAAAGCGTCGGGCGATGTGAATTTTACGTCGTCCAAGAGCGATTTTGCGTGTAGCTAGGGCTATTTGCGTCGAGCAAAAAATGTTTTGTTTGAGTATATTTAAAAATATTTTTGAGCAGAATTTTAATGAAGTAATTTACGATTATTTTAACATTTAATAAAGTATTTTAAAAATCGCACGCAGTTGATATAAAAGTTTGAATTACAAAAAAATTAAATATGCTCATTATTTACAAGTACAAAAAGTTTAAATCTTTTTAAGCTAACATTTTAATAAAATTATTCAGCAATAGCAAAGTTGTCAATAAAATTGAACAAAAATACTTTCTTTTAGTTTTAGATTTATAATTTAAATAATTATTTTACGGGGGTTTGTTAGGTTTTAAAATTATTCCTTAGATTTAAAAATATTTATCAACTGTTAAACGTATTTAAAGTATTTAAGAGTTATTTCAAAGGAACATTTTAAAAATTGGTAAGCGCAAATAAAAAAATTAAAATCAAAACGTATTCTACTTGATTCAATAAAAAAGTACAGTAATTAAAATTTTTGTAAAAAGTAACTCAAAAAAAATTATTTAAATAATAACAATCGCTTTTTTGTTAAGTTACCGAAACTCAACAAAGCATGCTCAAAAACAGCTGCTAAAAAATAGAACGTCAATAGTTTTTCGAATAATTTTTAATAATAATTTTTTCGCTGAAATATGTCTTTTATACCGATAAGATTTTTATTCTAACATTTTATTTTATTTCATTTTACAAAAAATAAAATTTCTTGTAAACATTAAAAATCTATTCAAAACGTTTGTTAAAGTCTTTTTAGTAATAGGAGAGATTGTGCTTATTAACCGCTTTATGAAAATAAATTAAAATAAATAAATAAATATTATATCAAATCGCTAGTAAAAATATTAGCTATTGCACAGTTTTTAATCGTACAATATTAAAATTTCCAGTTTATTACTCGCTGACTTTTTAAAAAGAAAAAATAATTATTTGAAAAACTTTAAGATACATATTTGAAAAAAAAAAAAAATCAAGTATTAGCATATTTTATAATCTTTTTTAAATGTTTAGTTATAATGCTTTTTATTTGTTTAGTATAGACAAAACGTGTCAAACGTCGAGATAATAAAAAAATGTTTTTACATTTTAAAAATCAAAACATTCCAAAACAATAAATAATAACATTTCAAAACAATTTAAATAATAACATTTCTACATAAATGATTTAAAGTAGTTTTGCGGTAATTAAGTAAATTGGTGCAGTTAATGTTGATAAATATGAAAATCAAATAAAAAGAATTTAATGACGTCAAAAATCATGTCGTGCTTATGCGTCGCGCAGTTTTTATTCATCACAAGGCCTGAACTATTATTTCATTTTTATTTTATGTAAATTTCAAAATTGTTGTGCATGTTTAAAACAACCTACTTAATTTGACTTAATTCTAAGCAGTATATACAAACAAATATAAACTATTGAAACAAGATATGCTTTTAGTCCATAAAATTTGCTTAAAAAGCTTTTTGCCATAAAAACCTATGCTTTTAGTCTATAAAATTTTCTTTTGAAACTTAAAGGGTTGTTTTTAGTAAAGGATATTGTGGCTTAGGTTAAAGCTGTTGAAAGTAATCGACAGTGTTGAAAGTAACAAACAGTGTTGAAAGTAATCAACAGTGTTGAAAGTAACAAACAGTGTTGAAGTAATCAACAGTGTTGAAAGTAATCAACAGTGTTGAGAGAAATTATCAAGTAAAAGCTATTAATGATACTTATGAATACAATTTAAAAAGAAAAATAAATTTTAGCCATAATTTTTATATAAAAGATACCGTAAGTTTTTTTAATAAAACAACATTTACAAATTTAAGAGAAAACTGAGTCACTCACTAACAATAAAACATGACAAGTTTTTTTTTAGAAACAATATAAGCAAATATTTAAAAATACATATAAAATATAACTTATATATTAAAAAAAAACGACTTTTAGACAGCAATTTAGTAAATATTTCAAATTTAACAAATTATTTAGTTTAAAAAAATTATTTTTTTATCTTTATAATTCTCTTGAAAAATAGAAAACTATTTTTTAATGTTTTGATATTTGCTTAATACTATCAGCCAATCACATTTTTTTATAGAATATATTAGAAAGCTGAAAACAAACTAGTTTGACCCAGTTTCACTGTATTGTTTATAAGGCTAAAAAATTATTAAAATAATTTTCAGAGAATATTTATTTATAAATTAATATCAATTCGAAGAAAAATATTCAAAGAATATACAAAAATAATAATTGTTTAGATTTTATTTATTTAGATTTATTTAGATAATTATTTATTTAGGTTTAATTAGAAACTAATATTTACAAATACTTTACATGAAAACATTATAGTCTAAATTTATACTTAGCTTAATGTAATAGAATTTAATTTAATAAATCAAATTATATAATAGTATGTTATGGATGACATTTTTTTAAGAAAATTATTTATGTACATTAAACTTATTTTTTTATAACTGCGTTTTTAAAATATATTTTATTATTATCTCTGCGAAAAACTTGTAAAAACTCACCAAACTCTTTTACTTTAAACCTATACTTTTTCTTACACTTTAAAACCTATACTTTTTGTTATACTTTAAAACCTAAACTTTTTGTTATACTTTAAAACCTATACTTTTTGTCATACTTTAAAACCTATACTTTTTGTTAACTTTAAAACCTATACTTTTTGTTATACTTTAAAACCTATACTTTTTGTTATACTTTAAAACCTATACTTTTTGTTACACTTTAAAACCTATACTTTTTGTTATACTTTAAAACCTATACTTATTTTTATACTTTAAAACCACCTATATAATTCCTAAAACCAAAACTTTAATGGTTTTTATGGAAATCTATTTACGGAACAGTATCCTACCCCATCAAATTCGACACCACTTTTTCTCAATGAATATGATAGCTGGCAATTAAATGGAAGCCCAGATTGTTTAGGAGGTCGAACAGCTGTTGAATGAGATGGATGAATATAAATAGGCATAGGAGGAATTGGTACACACTTGCCCCAACCTATTTTCATTTCATAATCCATGACATCTTTTCCTAAATAATATTATTCATTTTTTTTATTGAGGCAAATAGTAACATTGTACTACATATTAATACTATAATAATTAAGAAAATAATTTCAATAGTTGTTTTATAATGGTCATATGTTCAATATAAAGTTTAAATATTACCATATTAACATATGCGGTAGTGGTGTAGTGGTAAGAGCGCTCGCTTTGTAAGCGAGAGGTTCAGAGTTCGACTCCCACCATGTCCCTGGAAGTACCGCGCTCAACTTAATTTCTCCGCGCAGCGGCCTTGCTTGTCAAGGTTCGTGTTTCGGAGTTAAAGAGTTGAGAGAGGGTTGTACCACGATTTACAACAACAACAAAAAAAAAAAAATAATAAGTAGCCTCCTCGACTGTAGTGGCTTTGGTGAGGTAAATAATTAAGAAAAAAAAAAAAAGAGAGAGAAAAACTCAAAACTACCTTCTATATCAGCTAAGCATTTTTCACCATCTTTCCTCACCATAAAAGCAACAAAACCACAATTTCTATTACGTGATTTTTCATCTTCTGTTCTCGGCCACATTATTTTTACACTAGCCAAAGGGCCATACTTTCCAAATATTTTACATAATTGTTCTTCATTCATCTAAAAAGAATAAAGAAATAAGAATTAAAGGCTAGGTACTTTTGAAAAAAAAAGCATAACAAGAAACCCCTTCCTCAAAAAAAAAAAAAAGGTCAACATTTTAACATTTTCTTTCAAATTCTCTGTTAATCTTAGAATTTTGTGATTATATTTTGAACCATTCCACTAAAAAATATTTTATATGTTGTTTATAAGATATGTATAACCATTAGTTTTATTAGTTTATAAGATATGTATAACCATTAGTTCATTGGCAATTTTAATACCAGTCATATCTTTATTATTAAAGCCACTTTGAACTCAATCTCAAACAATCAATTTTTTGGCGACCATTTTGAATTTTGAATCTGTAAGCAGAATTAAAACCATTAAGAAAAAATCTGAGCTAAATATTGTTTCCAGGTCTTTCGTTTCACTTCATGTTGCATTTACTTTGGTCCAAAAATTAAAAACACGTCACAGATAAAATGTAAATAAACATCTCGTATAAATTAACAGTGTTAAAAAATTAAATTTAAATCTCATAAATCAAATTAAATGCTTGCTAACAATGAACAATCAAACAACAAATAGAAAAAACATTTTCTATTTTTTGCCATAAATTTAAATTTGTCAAGAAGCAAAAAAAATAATGATATAAAAATAACACGGCACAACAATTTACATTCAATGGCGAAAAAGCCAAACTAATGGGTTAATCTTCATTCATTGTTGACCAAAATCAAAAAAATATTTTCTATGCCTGTTACATAATTAAACACTCAGCTTTCAGTGCAACAGTTTGAAACTTTGAGAGTGTGAAACTCCAGTAAATTTAAATCAAAAGTTAAAACAAAGACCTTAATTTAGAACATATTACAACATTAGCACATTCTATAGACTTTAATTGAGAGATCTCAAGAAAACTTTGTTTTGATATTAAAAAGTTCACCTAAAACATTTATTAAAAGTTGTTAGCAACTTGTGAATTAAAAATCTTCCGGCTCCAACAAACCTCCATTACATTCCTACTGTAGATACAATACAACAAATAAGAACTTTTTAGAGGAATTTTTCAAAATGTGGAAAATTTTTTCTAAAAAAACTACTTATTTCTATGTTTTTGTAAGCATCATAATATATTAGTCAATATGTTTTATCAGCATTATTTTTTTTGAAAAAAAACAAAAACAAACCATTGGAATTCTGACCCCGCTATATAACACACCTTTGGATTAAGGTTGCTGACAAACAAATTTGTTGTTGTAGGATCTCCATTGTCTTTAGAACCTCCTTCATACTGATAATTCATCTCATCTATATCTATAATACATAAAATATTTTTTTACAATGAGAAGTACTTTTTTTTCTACTATTAAGAGTATAACATTAGTATTTGTATTATATTACATATATAATGTATTGTAATTTTTTAGAGCATAACATTTTCGCCAGTTAAAATTTTACTATTTTTCCCAGATTGATCAGCCTAAAATGTGCTAAAATTTACTCTAGCTTGTTAAACTGTTAAAACATATTGGAAACAATCTAATAAGCTTAATTTTAAAAAAAACATAGCAGCTTACTTAATTTTATTTTTTGTATCTTTAAGCATATTATGTATATCTATAGTTACCTTCAGTAGTTTTTGGCTTAAAAAAAGTAGGCGGCAAAGCATTCAGCATTTCTTCTGATATTCCTGATAAATCACCTTTTTTCAATTTTCTTCTAATATCTCGTTCTTTTTGAGACCTAGCAAAGATTTATTCATTATAACAAATTTATCACACTCTAGACAAAATAATTTTTGCATATACAAATATGACAGAAGTATTTACAGTGACAAATATAACTAAAATTAATTTCATTTTTTGAATAACTTTTTTTTTTAATTTATTTAAAAGAAAGTGTTAACTTTTGGGTTTTAATTACAAAAGTTATTACTAATTAAAATGATTTTAAATATGCCATAAGTAAAAACCACAATAGGTAAACCAAAAAAATGTCCCCAGGAAACTTGTAAATGTAAATATAATACACCTTTAATATAAACTTTTTATATTAAACTATAAACATTTTGCAATGTGTATTACACACATTGAGAAGGGGAAATGTAGGTACCTAAACAAAATATATTTTAGGATGACATAAATTAAGAATAAAGTTAAAAATTGAGGTTTGTAGTCAAAAATGCAGACCTAATTCAACACTAGAAAATTAAACTATTAATATAAGCCTAAAATTTAAGAAAAGTTTAAAGTTAGGTAGCAAAAAATTTAAAATACACTAATTAGCAATTTTAAAAAAAAACAGTGTAGGAACAAATAAAAAAATATAATTTGAATTATTTAAGACATGGGGCTAGTGTTTATTTATTTAAATCTTAACCAAAAACCTCTGGCTTCACTTATCATAACACTTTTAATTGTTAATAGTAGGGGTAGAGTGCTTGGTTCATAAGCAAGAAGTATGGTTCTAGATGCACTAATATGAGTCTATTTATACACAGTGAACAAATTATAAATAAACAACATCAAATGTCAATTTGGTAGTTTAAAGCAGAATCAATCACAATTGATAAGGCCAAACAAAGATACATAAAAGATATGTAAATAAAAAACAAACTGTTGACTTAATGGTTATAGAGGCTGTTAATTCCTAGAAGTGTGATGATGTGCATTAGTTTGTTCCGCTATGTTGTTTTGATATGGTTATTCTCAACCTCACATGTATTGATACCACACTTATAATACTTATAGTACTCTAAACTCAACACCTAGTTTGTAAAAGTTAGTTTTTTAAACTTATAAGGTTGAGGGAGACAAATTATAAAAAAAAGTTACTAATTAGATAAAACAGAAAAACAATTTAAACATTGCAAATGTATTTCTTTATAATACAATTGAACAAGTAAATACAAAAAAAACCTTTCTAATTCTTCTTTAAATAATTCCAAATTGCTTTTCCTTTTCTCACCCGTCTTTTTTTTGCTTAAATCCTAAGGAATTGTATAAATATAGTTTGATAGCTAACATTAACAAACATGCTTTACAAAATAGATTTAAAAAGACTCAATCTGACAGATTTAGTAAACGACTATATTTACTTGATATTAATAATCTATAATTTCTTCTAATTAATGTTTCAACATAACTGTACCTTTACTTATATCTCAAGGAAAAAAATAAAAAAAATAAAAATAAATAAATATACAAGTTTTGAAGTCTTATATTCCTCTGTGATTTCCTTGCTTTTTTTAAACTCCTCAGCCAATTCAGCCATTTTTGACTTTGGCTTATACAATCTACTAGTGTCATAACCTAAAAAAAAATATCACATAAAAAAAAAATTTAAAGCACCAAATTAATTTAATAAAAAAGTTAGTTAAAGGTGTTTTTTTAAATCTAAAAAAACACTTTAAAAGTCATAATTTACTATTATTTACAATGCATCACTATTACTTACTTTCCTCCTCTGGTGCTAATTTAGGTTCAATTGCTAAAAAAAAAATTGAAAACAAATAAAATTGTTAATAAAAACCATTTGTATAAACATTAAATAACTTATCTAGTGTTTGAGGTCAGCAATTTTTATAATTAGATTATATAAAATTTGTTAAAAAGTACAATGAAATGAATATTTGAACCTGGATATACTTTAAGGCTTCAAAACAATCGTAAAAATACTATAACTATATGATTATTTATTACATGTTAAACTGGAAATTTTGATATTCAAATTTAAAATATAATCAAATTATAATTTAAAAAAAAAAGAAGATTGAATTATTTACATGAAAGAGCCTATAACTAAAACTTTATTTGTTAAACTCATTTCAACGCTAAAACTACAATAGAATTTACAGAAAATATCATATAGAATTTTTATTTCGAATTAAAAATTTTTAATAAAATCTAAAATCGCACCCAAAAATTTAAAACCCTAATATCTCTCTAATGACTATAAAGTATCAATGACTCGACAGTTTAAAGTTAACAGTTTTAATAAATTTTACAAGACATAGGTTTACCTGTAATTGAACCTGTCGTTTTGAAAAAGACACAAGTCCAAAACTTTTAACAGTTAGTTTATAAATTTAAACTTGAAAATTATGTATGATTTATGTTTTTTTTATAAAAAATAAAAGTGGCATGAGTTATATACGTTCTTTATTTATCTACTTTTATATTTAATTTCTTTAGCCGCAAAGATTATTATTTTAATAAAAATCATGTTTTTGTTGATTTTGAAGAATTTTAATAAATGGACTTGTGCCCTTTTCGAAATGACAGGTTCAATTATTTATGCTAATTAAATAATTATGTAAAAATTACTGAATACATGCACAATGCCAATATTTTTAATGTAGCCAGCAAAATTTAGTGCTAAAGATATCAAGCTGAAGACAATAATCTTTTAAGATCATTTATTTTCACAGCATTGCTTATTAAAAATTAAAACAATTGTTAAAAGTGCCAAAAATGAGATGCATCTATTGACAGTGCTCATTAGATGAATAACTCTTTTATTCTTAGCACTCACTCATTCATCATTCTTAGCACCTTTAAAACAGTTTTCTTTAAAAAAAAAATGGTTTAAATTTTAAAACCAATAGCCTTTTTTTGTTATTACATAATGAAGTTTTAGAAATTTAAAGTTAGATTTAAAATTAATTTGTCAACTAGGTGTATCAGTTATGTTGGCTATTCAAGTCAGTGTCATTTGAGTAAATCTACTTTTGCAGGGGTTGTAGTGCCCCTCTCTGGAGCGTTCCCAAGGAGCGACCACTATTGTTAAAGAGGCTACTTATTTTTTTTAATGATTTTTAAATTTATTTACAACTCTCTCTGTCTCTCTCTTTCTACTCAAAAATCTGAAACACAATGAAACCATTGTTCTATCTATGGTCATAGATAGAACAATGAGGTATCCCAGAAACTACTAAAGATAAAGTAAAATGCTGCCCATCATGGATAATTTTAGTACTGTGTTTGGAGAGGAAAGTTTCAGTAATTTAAAAAGTTTTTCTAATCCAGAGAATATAAATATAAAAAAAATTTAAGAAAAGTGTGTCAGAGTTAATGCATATCAAACTATACCTTTTTTTTGTGAAAAGCCTTTGATATGGCAAAAGCAATGTTTGTTTTTACTGGATCTAATGACACAATAAATTCTCTTGATTATTACTATAAAAATTTTGAATAAATAGTCATCAAAAATATTTTGTAAAAAATAGAATTCTGGAAAATACTTTCGCAAGATTGAGACAGGAATACTATCAGGAACATAAGCAATAGATAAATTGAGGAATAACTAAAGTCACAGAGTGATTAGAATTTCTAATAAAGATAAACCTGTTTGTTAGGAATATAAGTAAAAATGTGGTCATTTTATTCAGGGAAAAAAAAAAATTATTTAAGATTTTGTTTATGAAATAGTTATTTATGAAGGCATTTAAACTTATTAAACTTTAAAAATTTTAAATTGAGTTTAATAGCTGTAAATCGTATTGGGAAATAACAAAATAGAGTTCCATAAGAATTTCACAAGAAGATACATCTAAAAAATCTTAAATTAAATCTAGAGATGTGTTGGAACCAGTTTATGCTGTCCCTGATTGCAGGTACCCGCAAGAAAATACCGGGTTCGAGTCTGGGTATACAAAAACGGGTCTATTTTAAAAATTAGAATAAAAACTAGTGATACTTCTAGCACTAAATTGTTTTCACAAAATAAGGCCAATTAATTTGCGCTAATTAAGTTTTCCTAAATATATAGAATTTTCTTTTTAATAAACAACTAAACTTGAGGTCACAAATTCAAATTGCATAAACTAAAGTGTAAACTCAATGTCTGTAAATATTCTTTCTCCCTAAGGGTTGTTAATATTTGGAATAACTTTTTGTCTGATGTCATTAATGCCGAAAAACATCAAGAGCTTTAAAATAAAAATAAATTCTGTCTCCTTCAAAAAATACTGTTCTGGCTAACTAATTTTCTTTTTATAACTGTGGTATTGTATATAATATATACTTTTTTATAATTCATCACTAAAAAATCCCTTATATTCACTCATTATTCAAAAGTTATGGACAAAAAAAAAATAAAAAAAGAGGAGACCTTCTTGACTGTATTGTGAATAAAATAAAAAAATTTGAAAAAATAAAAAATAATTTAGACAACACTTATTTGCTATCTTATTTTAATTGTTTAATTAACTTCAGATGAACAAACATTAAGTATTGGAAAGTTTAATTACTAAAAATACTCTCGTGAAAAGATTTTCTCAACAATAAAAAGAAGCAAATATCTGTATAAATCAGCTTTTTTTTAGCAATATGTTCTGATTATTTTGAGAAAAAAAAATTATTTTAAATAATATTTTAAGTGAGACACACATCTATATCGACTAAATACAGCTTTGTAGTTATTGACTCCATAACTCTCTTAGACTTATCAAGTTTATTGGTTGAACTTTTGAACTAAAAACAATCCTGTTTATAATATTTTGATACAATTTAAATTATCACATAAACAAAAATGTACAGCACTTAAGATTAATGTTTATAAAAAATTTCTTTCAAGATACCGAGTATTGCAACAAAATGGCAGATTCTGGGTACCTAGAAAAACAGCTGAATCACCTGGTCCTTGGGTTCGAACCAGGAACCTGGCACATCACTAATTAAATCCTAGAGCTCAAGATTTAAAACATACCTACGACACTAAATGAGTAACATCAAAAAACATATAAATAGTTATAGACAGCATCTGTTTTCCACATAGTAAATGACTGGGGCTGGTATTAGATTGTACCAAAGGCAGTTCTACAGATTGGACTGCATAATTGTTAGTGCATAATGACTTATTTTTATATATCATATCAATATGCACCAAAATTTATACACAGGGTTGCCACTATAATTTTTAAAGTTTTTCTCTGAGTTTTCCTAAGTATTCCCTGAGTAAAGAATGTTTTTCACTGAGTTCAACACTTCAAGTTCCCTGAGTTTTCCCTGACTTTTCTATATTCTTTCCTGTTCATCAACAATATTATCATTTTCCTTAATTAAACACAATCTTTATATTTGACATACTAAAACTTTTACAAAAACATCCACATCTTGCAAACTTATTATTATATGTATTCGCAAAATATTTTTGAAAAAAAAATTGTACAAAATTTCGAAAAAAATTTCCAGGTAATCCAGGTTTTCTAGGTTGAGTGGCAACCCTGTATACAGGCCCAGCCATAAACCCGGCTTTGGCCCAGGTCAAATACCAGCCCCAGTCACTTACTACTTCCACTTAACATTTTTCCTAGGATATAAGACTATGGCAAGATGCTGTTTACACCATACCCAAAAAAAGTAACTTCTGAAGCTAAAAAATTTCATTTTTTTTAATTTTAATTTTATAAATTGTTTTATATTTTGAATAAAAAATTTTAAAAGTAAAAACTATTATGATACCAATGGATTTATTTGGATCAATTATTCCTGCTCTCACAAAAGCCTTTCCTGCTGCAGCAGATGTTTGAAAGTCTGCAATATATTCATCTAAAACAGCAGCAGCTTCCAATTCTTCATGCTAAGAAAATTTAAAACATAAAATTATATTACAAGATATAATATATCATTAAAAAAAACAAGTAACTATTTTAAAAAACTTAATTTTTTTAAAAACTGATACTAAAGTGATTGTGGCCTAGATACTAATAAGATTACACAATTAAAGTGCACAGTTTTGTTGCAGAAGTTTGGTTATATATTTTTTAAATGCGTTTTGCAAAAAAAAAAAATAGTACATTTTTTACCTGTTTAAGCTCCTTAAGTTGCTTTTTTCATGTTTTTTTTTTTTAAAAACAATTAGTTTCAATTAGTTTCAGCAAGAACTGATTTTTTTTGCACACTTTTTTGACAAAAAAAATATGCAAACTAATGATAAAAGCTATGGATTTTTTTAAAGTTAAAGCAACTAAACTATTTGTGGGAGCACATCTGGCCACCTAATCAGGGGTTTTTTTCCTGGTCGCCCTGCGGGCAACTGAATAGTTTTTATTTCTCATCTGATTTATCCGCTATGATAATCAGTAGTCCGATATAATAGTTTTTTTGGGGGTATTTTTTATTTTTGGGTGAAAATATTAAAGAAAAAAAATTTAAACATCTGACTACTAAAATACATTTAATAAGAAACAGTTTAATTAAAAGTAAATTAATTAACAAAAAAAAGTGAAATGTTATAAACCTGTTAAAAAAATATTATTAAGTAACTTTAGTTACAAAGAGATATTGGTAAAGAGATAACTATAAATACAACTTTTAAAAATTGTCATTTTTGTTGCACTCAATAACTGTTTCGTGTTGTTTCTTTTTGTAAATCTAAACAACTATTTTTTTTTTTTTAATAAAAATACATTATTTATAAGCCTATCCAAAAACTCAAGTTACTATGTCAATGTTACCTCATTAACAGGTAACTTTGGTCATCGTATTAATTGAAGAAAATCTCGGATTTGTTGAATATAATTAAATAACACCAGTTATGTACAACTTTTAGCATCAAAATAGTATCGGTAAAATTTTTTTGCTTCATTATGTAAAGCAAAAAAGTTGAGAGCCGAAACCACAAAGAAATGTTTTATAAAAAGAAAAATATTTTATTAATCTATCTCAATCTTCAATCAAATTTAATTTAGTTGAATGTTTAAAAAATTATATTCAAGGTTTTAAACATTTTTTATTATGCTTTTTTTTTTTATAAAAAAAAGAATTTCCATGTGCATCATTAAAATTGCATTTTAATAATGATTTTTCACATGCATCTTAATGTTTTTTATTTTGTTAATAGACTTAATGTATCATTTTTTAAATGTGATGTTTAAAAAATGATACATTAGTTCTTGGAATTAGAAGAAAATGTAATTTTAAAACTCATTTTAAATTGAGAAGAATTGTGCTTCAAAATGCAACAACGACATAAAAAAGCAGTATAGTCACACTTTATAATATTAAATCAGTTTTCTTTTTATTAAGTTTAGTAAAATTATATAATACACTGTAGTAGTCTTTTAAATAATCGCAAAGAATAAAATCTTCATATATCAAAATATGGTTTTATTAATAAACACACTTTTGTAAGTAACAAAATTTCTGGCCATCCAGCTGGACTACTGACAGGCTTTTTTTTAATTTCAGTTGTCCTTAGAAAAAACAAGGCAGTCTGTGCCACCGGATGATTATAAGGGTACACCTGCCAATATATATATATATATATATATATATATATATATATATATATATATATATATATATATATATATATATATATATATATATATATATATATATATATATATATATATATATATATATATATATATATATATATATATATAGCAAAATACCATTTTTGTACTGTATAATGTACACATTTATTACTTAAATATGTTTCAATTTAAAAATTAACACATATGAACATAATGAATAAATAAGTCACAGTATAAAACATGTTTTAGTTACCCACTTTATAAGGGTCCCCAAACTTTAAGAATAGCCACTTATCTTTGTGACATTGAGGCAGCAAGCGTCACAATATTTATCAATAGTCAATTGACCCATAGTGCACTGTTACTGTGTTCAAGCAGTATCAAAATAAATCACATACAGCAAATTCGCCGGAATAAAATATAACATTGAAAACACCGATACATACATCAACAATATATGAATAAAATTGCTTATTATAAACATAAAGACAATAACAACAAGACAAAATATCAACTTCGGGTTCAAGACTGCAATAATGATTTAAAAAAATATTTTCACCCAACGAACATTGCGCCTTATAAGAGGTGGGAAGCATAACTTGTACACTAGTTAATCAAAGCAACAACAAACCTAACTAGCATAATATGTGTGCATATATATATATATATATATATATATATATATATATATATATATATATATATATATATATATATATATATATATATATACATATATATATATATATATATATATATATATATATATATATATATATATATATATATATATATATATATATATATATATATATATATATATATATATATGTATATACATATATATATATATATGTATATAGAAATTCTGTAATTTCTAAACTTATAGACCATTGAATTTAAATGAAGAAAATAGAATGAGCCTCACCATGTTCTAATCCATTATTTTGTTAATCTGTATGCAAATTTGTGCGGTGCATATTTTGTATCCAAACATATATAATTATTGTCACAAACAACTTTTTACATTATAATATAGCATAATTTAATTACGATACATTATATAAAACCATAAAATATATTACATTTGATATTTACGATAACAAATAGAATTAGCCTCATTAATAATTATTTTCAATTTACTTGTATATTTTGATCTGGTGATAGATTTTGATCAGTTTAATTTTGCTGTGAGCATATATTCAGCAAGAGTGCTTGATGAGTGATATCAGAGTTATATAATTGATTTTTTGACAAGACTAAATAAAAAATAAATATATAGTATCCCTGCAAATACTCCAGAAAAAGTATATATTGGCCTAGCAGAAGGTGAATGAAAGAAAAGATGGGCTAACCACAAACACTCGTTCACAAACAATAAGATGAAAAAATCAACCACCCTTTCAGAGTATATATGGCAAAAAACTTAAGAATAACACAAATTAACCTGGTCAATAATTAAACAAGCCCCTGCCTACAGCAATGTAACAAAAAAATGCTTGTTTTGTCTTCATGAAAAACATTGCATAATATCATACAAAGGTACACAAGAATTATTAAATAAAAAAAAAGAAATAATATCTAAGTGCCGTCATGAAAACAAGTTCTTGCTTGACAACCACAAGCCCAAAAATCAAAAAACCAAACCACGCTTGCAAATAATAACATTTTATAATTGTTTTTGAACATCATGTTTATTAAGAGTATATTTTTTAACAAAAAAAAAACAATGTATTTTTACCTGATGATTGCCAAACGCATGAAACTTTTAGTAGTAAAAATTATGTAGTTATTTTTATTTAATCTTGTCAAAAAATCAATTATATATATATATATATATATATATATATATATATATATATATATATATATATATATATAATATATATATAAATATATATATAAATATATATATAATATATATATATATATATATATATATATATATATATATATATATATATATATATATATATATATATATATATATATATATCAGTGGTGTACACTGGACTTTTAGATGTTTGAGTTTTGACACTTACAGGTATTGTGCAAACTCCAAACTTTGATATGTTCATGCTTATGTCAAATGAGAGTGTTTTGCAAAGAGTTGTGGTGATTGGAGCTTGTGGAAAAAAACCCCAATTTTTGGGCCCACCCAGCCCTTAACGTGGGAGCAACAAGTTGATAAAATAATTTTTTTATTATTTTTATCTAAGTTTATAATCATCAACAAATTTCAAATTTCATCCAATAATTTCTCATTTTTAAAAAATTATGACCATATAAAGTTTTAACCCCCCTCAATTTGAGGGGGCTGTAAGCTTTGTAGGGTCATAAAAACTAAAAACTAAGAGGTTATTGTATGAAATTAGAAATTTGTTGATGAATATAAACTTAGATAAAAATACTGAAGAAATAATTTTATCAACCTGTTGCTCCCACGTTAAGGGCTGGGTGGGCCCGAAAATTGGGGGTTTTTTTGTCCCCAAGATCCAATCACCACAACTTTTTGTGTAAGTATAAACATACAAAAATTTGAAAAACCAAAAGTTTGGAGATAAACATTTTTAAAATTTTATATATATAAAATTTTAAAAATGTTTATTTATTATCTTGCAAGCACAAGATATTTTATTTAGACAACTTTTCATTGTAATAATAAATTTATTTAAATTTTATTCTTTCTTAAAAAAAAATTAAAATAAAAAGATTATTTTTATTGTAATTTTTTTTTGGTTATCCTTAAATCCTTGTATATGTGTTCATGGACTGCATCAAAAAAAATGTGCACAAAATGCTAGTTAAACTTTTTTTTATAAGTAAGCGCAACAATAAATATTTTTTTTAACATTGTTTTTGTCAATTGAGTTAATTTTTTAACTGAATTCATTTTATTATAATTTTCTATATTGTGGTAGTTAAAAAAAACTTGACAACCATAGAAATATAATAAAAATAAAGTGAATTTTATGACATCAAAATTCATATTAAAGGATCCCAAACCTCCAAGACATGTTTTGTTCAAATTAAAGAAAATCCTGAAAAAAATGTTTGGGCTAAATTTTTTGATTAAAACAAAAGAATAAATGCATACCAAGAATAACTTTTTTGTTTTAGACAAAGCTTACCTTTTTTGTTTTATTGTAGGTCAAATAGTCTTCATAATATATACTGCAATTTACAGACTTGATAATTTATTCTATCACACTTTAATCCTGAGAGTTTTAGTACATATTACATTATATATATATATATATATATATATATATATATATATATATATAATATATATATATATATATATATATATATATACTTATATACATATATACATATATACATATATATATATATATATATATATATATATATATATATATATATATATACATATATATATATATATATATATATATATATATACATATATATATATATATATATATTTATATATATATATATATATATATATATATATATATTTATATATATATATATATATATATATATATATATATATATATATATATATATATATATATATATATATATATATATATATATATATATATATATACAGGCCTTCTCGTAAGAGGCGTGCAATCGGACGCTTTATATGACCACGCATATAGTTCTTTGTTTTAACAACTTGACCACGGCTCATTGCAAATTTTGATAATTAGCGCATTTAAAAATTGCGCTAAAAAAAAAACAAAGTAAATTAAAATAAACAATCCATAAACTGAAAAGAGAATAAAATCCTTAAAATAATATTTATAACAAAAACTAACCTAAAAAAGTAAAATATTTAAAGAATGATAAAATAAATAAAGGAAAAACCAGAAAAAAGATCAAAACACGTATTAATTTTAAACTTAATTGGAACCAAAAGTGAAAAAATCACAGCTCTTTAATAATCTTTATCATTCCTTCCCATGAATAAATAGGCTAATACAAGGGCGTGGGAAAGGGTAATGAAATTTAATAAAATTTTGTGGTGCAAATTTAAAATTTCATTAAAAAGTTAATAGGATACAGGGTGCAACAAATCGACAAATGTGCGCGTATTTATTTGACAGACAGAAAAACAAACATCACGTTTCTTTAATTTTGCTTATGCAAACGTTGCCATTTGATTAAGATTTTTCAAAACAAACGCGTTACTTCAGCAATTTTTTCAAAATAATTTTGCGATCAATAGTTTTTTATTTATTACAAAAAACATATTTAATATGAAAAAACACATATGAAAAACAATTAATTGTAGAGACTTGTTTTAAAAAATGCTAAAACTTTTCAATTGCGTCACTTTTAAGTAAAATAATAAAAAGTAATTATGTTTTAGCATGGTTTTTGCATGCACTCACAAAAATATCATAATTTTACTTAAAATAGATCCTTTTGCAAAAACTTTCAAAGAAACCGTCCTTAAACAATTTGATTGCTTTCTTTTATTGAAGAAAGCGATTGTAATGTTTAAGCTTGGTTTCTTTTCTGCTTTTAGCAATTACATTAAAAGTTTAAAGCAAATGATTTCATTAAAAATAAAATTGTGCATGCTTTTTTTTTAATTTTCTTATTTTCCATAAACTGAAATAATGTTTGTTTGCATATTAAAAACACTTTTAAAAGTTTTTTTTTATTGTGCGTTTATCATTAATTTGCGCGCGCTTTGCAAATGTGTAAAAAAAAGTTTTTGAAAAATAACAATTGAATAAATTTACCAAGCATCTTTGATATATTTGATAACTTATTAACTAGAATAAAAATTATTTGAAATTTGTTTGACATAAATCTCTTAAATTAGACGATCGTCAATAAATAAAGATACGCAAGTCAACGTTCATTTAAAAAAACGGTACGCCACGCCCTGGGATAAAAAATAGTTGGCAAATGCGACTATTTCTAGACTATTGTAAT